CACGATGGGGTGTGCAAGTACCCAGAGGGAGAAACGAAAAAGGGGCTTTTGAGAAACAATTCCAGGACCTCAAAAATAAAATCTTAGAAATACATTTATTGCAAAAATCGTTTTTTATACATTTAAAAATAAACATTAAAAAAAAAACCACAGTAGGTATAAAACATATGTGGGTACATTCATCAGCTGGTGAAATTACCGTACAGTTCTGAGGTGTATGGTACTTATTTTTCTCTCTCAATTTTTCAAAGTTGTATACATGCTCCTATATATACAACTTTGAAAAATGGGATACACGGAATATATAGGAGCATGTATACAACTTTGAAAAATTGAGAGAGAAAAATAAGTACCATACACCTCAGAACTGTACGGTAATTTCACCAGCTGGTGAATGTACCCACATATGTTTTTTACCTACTGTGTTTTTTTTTATGTTTATTTTTAATAATTTTTGCAATAAATGTATTTCTAAGATTTTATTTTTGAGGTCCTGGAATTGTTTCTCAAAAGCCCCTTTTTCGTTTCTCCCTCTGGGTACTTGCACACCCCATTGTGGAAACATCCTATTTTTCCTATACCATAATCCGGGGTGCGAAACTTCCAGCACCTCTACACTTGCGACACATGTCTACTAATGTTATCCGCTTTTAAAGTGTTGTCTATGGACTTTTTGGGGTACTGAATTCTGTCGCAGTTTCACGGACGCACAAAATTTGTATCCTGGTCATGTTGGGCATCTATTTACTCGTTGTAACCTCATCCTTGTGTTTTGGGGCATTTTAGTGAGTTGCGCTAATATCGTGCAACATAAAATTTGCAACTGCCACATTTTATTCTATAGGGTTTTTACTTTCAGAAAATATATAATGTTTGGGGGTTTTAAGTAATTTTCAGGCCTACAATGTAGAATATAATATGTACACAAAAAAATTAAAAAAAGGCCTTGGTCATGAAGGGGTTAAATACCACCAAAAGAAAGCTCTGTGTCCCCAAAAAATTGTATAAAATTAATTTCAGTACAGCGTTGCATGACGGAATGTCAGTCAAAGTTAAGGAGGTTTGGCAATGGGGCTCCTGGGATTTGTGCATTCCTGTTTTTAATGTATGATTTGATATATTTTTTATATATATATTTAGGGATGCACCATTAGCATTTTTCGAGACCAAGTACAAATATTTGCACTCACAGATACAAGTACTGATACATTTTGTTTAGTGTCATGTGAGTTTTTGAGCAGTTCGAAAAGCTCTTTTAACTGCCCAACAAAAGAAATCCAATCATTTTAAATGGCCTGCCCTGGTTCACACCTGAACAGAAAAACGCCTAGCAGGAAAACGCCAGACGCCTGATAAGATACAGTTAAAAGCACTTTTCCTCCCCATAGACTTCATTGGAAATGCCCAAAAACACGCAGTAGAAGCATGTTGCACATTTTTGGCAAGCGTTTTTGCGCGTTGAGACACGCCTTCTTCCATTGCCCACAATGGTTTATGAGCTGCCAATCAAAACGCGTGTCTTCATGTATGCGCATTTTAATGCGCATACATAAACGTGCAAGTAACCACAGGCTGCTAAGGCGTGTACAAACGTGCAAAGACGGTGCGGCCTAGGTGTGAACCAGGGCTAAAGGTGTCTTGGTTGTTAGTTTGAAGATATGAGTAAAGTTACTCTTTACACAAAAGAAAACTTTGTTTTACATTTTATTCGTAAACAAAAATTGCATGAAGTACGTTAGTTCTGAATAATCAGAGAACATCAACTCCTAGCACGTGTGCTATCACCTGTTCTGCTGTATGATAGTACAAGTTGCCTGTTTAATACTGTGAGAAGAAGCTGAACCTAGGTTTTAACTAGGGATTCACCGATACTGAGTATTTGGGCGAGTACTCGTATTCGCCCAAATGCTCCGATACCTTTACCCGATACTGGAATTTTTTGGTCAGAGGAAGATATTTTAGATTCCTCCATCAGTTTTAGCATAGATGGAGGAATCTGTTGCATTTTTTCCCATCTGACCATAGAAAATCTGCAGATACTCTATAGGTGTATGGCCAGCTTTACTCTACTCTGGTGCATTGTGAAATTTAACTCATCATAATGCTTTTAAACATTTAGCACAGTATATAAAAAATAATGTAGAACCTGCGCTATGAAAGTATGTGTATCAATATTCAATGCAACTGCAGTGATAATTATAGTGAAAAACACTAGTGAAAGAAAAATATACAGGTCGCTGTGCCGACTTACACACTTAGTTGGCGCGGTGACCTGCATATATATATATATTTTTTTATTAGCGCAGTATAAGATTGATATCAAGAAGATCTTTATATGAAAAAGGAAAAAAAAGAAGACTCTTCGAAGTGAACCTGTTAAGTAAAATAAGACAGTGATGATCATGTGGGAAAATATACTTCTCAAGTGATTTCTCACTTGTTCCAGTGTGTAGTGTTCCAGCTGAGAAACAACATCTGTTAGTTCATAGGAAATACTGACTTTCTGCCAAGTTGCCTGCTTAGATGGCACTCTGCCCTCCAGCTGCTCCCCTTCGCGAGGTGAAGCCAGAGATTGATCTCCCTACAAGGCAAGACAGTAAAACTTTGCCTCGTCAAGGAAGTACATGGCATATTGTAGAAGCAGGGATGTAGTTTATTTCCTAATACTGGGGAAATAAATTAAACTGGGAAGGGTATATGACCACTGCACAGGGAACAGAATGTACACAATGCAGGGGCTATAATTGAAAGCCTCTAACCCATTTTTCTCTCACTTGAAACCAAGATTGCGCTGGCCATTGCGCATTTGACGAATGCGCAATGAACTTTGCGACATTGGGCTCAGTAAAAATTGGTAAACAGTCGTTTAAATATTCTATAATTGGCCACAGACTTGCTTTAAAGGACATGTGACGGTGTTCTTTGTGATAACAGAACTTAAATGCAGCTTTGTGCTTTTAATTACACCATACGACTATTGTGCTTCCCTTAACTTGCCCTATGTTTGGTGCTGATGAAAATATCTATGTATAAATATCACTACAATACAACGACAATATCATTGACTGACTGACCATATACAACTCTATCCAGCCACTCAAACTAACAAGTAGATGTCCTGGTGTTTTATAACATTTGATTTTGCACAGTAATTGCTGTCTCTTTAAAGAAGAACACCAGGAAAAATGGAGGCTACCCCCTCACGGCTTTAGTGCTCGTTAGTGTCTAGGTGAAAAAAAAAAGTTGTACTCACCAGACCATCCGAGTTGGCTTGTTCTTAGACCGCTGTCTGGAACGTCCCTTCCCCTTTCCTGCAGTAGTCTAAGGATCCTAGTGTCATCACACTCTATACACTGTGCATAGACATGAGGACGCCAAGTGAGTATAACTAACTATTTTTTTTAATTATTTTTTTTTTGCACCTAGACAAAAACGAACACTTAACTCTTGCAGTGCGGGGGTAGCCCCATTGCAAGGGTGAATACAATTTTTTTTTTCTGTAGTAATTCTTTAAGAACAAGCATTTTATTACCTTAAAGTGGACATTTTCCCTTTTCATTTAAAAAAAAAAAAAAACACATCTGTGTGCAGCTCTGCATGCTGATAGGAATGAAACATGCTGATTTTACATTAATTAGTTAAACATGTTTTTTTCTTTTACTTACAATTACTGTTTTTCCCACTTCCTGGTTGTGTGAGACACTGGTGATGTAGCCCTGGCCTCACCGATGCATTCTGGACAGGCTACATCACCAGTGCCTTCCTGGGAAATCTTATTGGCAAACTGTTATATTTAACAATTTATTTGTAGGTTGACATTACTAAACATATGTAAAGGTGCCTGTTGTAATTTCTAAGATAAGGGTGAAGTTCCTCTTTAACCAGTCCCCCCTAGCAATAGAATTGGCTATATCATGACAATATACAATGACACATGTACAAGCTTGATTGAACAAAATGCATTTGTTGGGTGCAGGTGATGTGTGGCTGCTAATCAGTTGTTCTACTAGACTAGCAATTGGTTTATAATAAAAAAAAAAAAAATGAAAGGCACTAACATGTAGGGCTGTAATGGTACCAACCAAATGTTAATAGTTACATAGTATTTGAGGTTGAATAAAGACACATGTCCATCAAGTCCAACCTAGTGTGTGTGTGTGTGTGTGTGTGTGTGTGTAAAGATCCCCGAGTCATCTCATTTTTAGGAGTACTTGTACCCCTGTATATTACCGTTTCTCAGGAAATCGTCCAAAAGCTTCTTGAACGATTCCACACTATTAGCTGAAATCACTGCTTGTGGCAACGAGTTCCAGACCCTAACCGCGCGAAATGAGAAGAACCCCCTCCGCCCCTTGTGTTTGAATTTTTTTTTTTTTCAATAAAAATCAATTCTTTTAAAACTTTTTAAAAATATTTTATGACAATTTCATTAGACATTTAAATGGAATACAATTTTTACGGATGGGGTACCTCGACCCACCCATGCTTTTCCTCGATCTGTTAATCTGCTTAAAAAAATATAGATATGCACATAAATAATGCTTGTATGTAATAGGTTAAATTATTTCTAGTGGTGATCTAAAGTTGAAAGTGATCAGATGCTTAGTTTGCTATTGTGTCTGCTCTCACTAATCTGAACACCCCTAGAGTGAAAGAAATGGGCTTTGACCTGTTCTTTTTCTAAAGCCGTTTTTTTTTTTTTTTTTTTTTATTGCTTCAGATAAAGTCCCGTCAGCTCACATTATATCTGTGTGTTTTTGTTGAAATAAATTGCAGTAAAAATAGAAAATGAATTAACAATTGGAAGTTGCATTGTGATGCATCGTCACGTTAGCCAAATCTTTTTTTAGCACTTGGATAGATTGATGCAATCATTTACTGTGTCTGCCCAGCTTGTAACATAGCATTAAATCATTAAATATTCTTAGCAGGTAAGTATTATTTTCCATAATCGTTTTCTTGCAGAATTCCTGACTTCCTTTTTTTATTTGTTAATGCAGCATGGATGGAGCCGATTTGTGCTTTGAAATCGTAAAGCGAGCTGATGCCGGCTTTGTGTACAGTGAAGCTGTTGCCAGGTAAGTGACTGCCAACATTGATACGAGGGCACTTATTGGGTGCTTTCCTAATGCTTATTCATTAAAGTGCATTTAAAGCAAGATAACAGCATTGGCTTAAAAAAAAAAAAGAAATCTATTAGATACATTATGACAAGATTAAGAAAATCTAAGGCCTTGTAAAAATCGATGTTAAAGCTTTCTAGGGTACTGTTTTTTTTTTGTTTTTTTGTTTTTAAATAAACCTGTACCTTGCCCATGCTGGTAAACAATTGCAGGTTGGTTTGTTTATAACTGGTATTGATATAGCTCCAACACCTTCCGCATCACTTTACATGCTGCAAACTCGCATCAGTACCTGGCCTCAAGGAGCTTAAAATATACAGACACATGCTAGGACTGATTCAAGTATCTCTCTTCCCCC